TCTCTTATACACATCTCAGGTTCAAATCCCATCAGAGGAATTTTATTACACTATATATTTCAGGACACTGCAACAAAGACTGGCACTCTAGAATTGGACTTCTTAGTCATCTTAGAAAATGTTGCTCACAACTAAATCAACAATGAATACCTTCAGAATGAATGTTATGCAATTATCTCGTAAGATAAGCTTGCCAATAATTATACACTAAATATATGCTAAAATATGAGGAGAAATAATGTTCTGAATGTATTAAGGAAAGATGATAGTTCAAGAATGTGTTTCTGGCGTGACTCAAACCCGATATGTCTGCTTTCCAATCCCTGGGTCTAGGTTGAAATAAATTTACAGCATAGCAATTCATCGCATGACAAAAACATCTTTGAGGTCAAACTAATATTTATTTATCCAAAAAAAATTACTGTACAATGCTTTTATACAAAGTAAAACAAATGACTTAATATGGATAAAAAGTTACAAACAAAAAACATATACAATAAAAAATATTAAAAATTGTTTTAACCCAGTGTACATTAGAAATATTTAAAACATTTACCAAAGATAATAAATTGCAGAATATAGAGCAGCTTCCCAATATAGTGGAAGATCAGTTCGAAATTCATTGTGGGTCAAATCCTGGCCGTGTTCAAAATCACTGATGCATGACTGCCGTAACTCAGTGGCGTACGCTAATCTGGGTCTGTTGGTGGATTACCGTACGCCAGTGATTGTGCGATAATACTGTTGTTCGCCACACCGTGCACAAATTCACATCACTCGATTAACGTTATCATTGTGTCTGAACATAGCCAAAAGCCGGGCACTCACGGTTGTCGGCGACGCAATTCTATAGAGAATGCAGCGCCATGATGTACGCGCAACAATTTGCTTTTTATTATGATCCATTCTCAATCACACCGGCAATCAGGTGTCATGTCATCTAGAACTATAAGGAGAGGAGTTCGATTTGTTGTACAACCAACGTATGACACAGTACGTGCTCGGCTTAAGCTTCGTATATCACATTTACAATATTTCGTTATTTCAAATATTTAAGAGGCCCTAAATATTAGCCAGCCTTCTACGATAAGCTGGAAGTTTCACCCTCTATGAAAAGAGTTTTTTGCATGGTTTGTTTCTTGCTCCAGTTGATCAGAATAGTTTCTATTTAAAGAACACACAAAAAATGAAACCTAAAAATTTAACATCCATTCCATAACTTCACATTGTAAATATATGTACAACTTCACTTGCAACTATAAAATAAACTTTGTCGATAGAAAAGAAATGTATACTGTATATATTAAAGATGCATTGTCTGGCATGCTAACAAATTAAAAAATTAAATTTAAAACATATTTGAATTGCTTTATCTGTATATTTAAGTAAGTTCTTAACATAATGTATAATAAAAGTTAAAATTCAGTTATAATTACATATATGTCATGACATGTGTACATAATCCATAAAGGGTACAATACAATTCATATTTCTGCATGATACACTTTTTTAATCAAATGGTGGTTTTTATGAAAGATTGTGCTAAAATGTACAAATGGCAGTGGAGCACACAAAACAAAATTTTAAAAAGAATATCAGTACACCATACTGCTTACATACAAGTGTTCATATATGCATCAATATCTTGTTCCATCAAAATTCTTGTTACAGTGTGTGCCATAAAAATATATCCCCTCTATCATATCAATCACTTCTTAAATTCTGTGGTTTGTGATGGTAAACATCATTTAAAGCACAGGCGGGAAAAGTGTGGCCCAACAGCGTTTTTCTTTCGGGCCGCGACAATGAATTAAAAACCCTATGTTTGCGGCCGGCCAAGCAAAATTGAAACCTATCTATAATGCGAATATATATATATATATATATATACATTAAAACAACCATGATTTGAAAAATGTCTACACATTCATTTGCATTTTGTGTAATTCGTGGAAAATACAATATTGAGCTTTGATTGTTCAAAACCTATATTTTTATTAATATTCTGCAAAGACTTGTACCTTAATGGAAGTTGTTTGGCGCAGCGAGAATGGTTTGGTTTCCCATCCCTCTTTCTGTGTATTCCACTTGTTCTTGGGCAAGGCATTTTATCTCCTTTGCTTCTCTCCACCCAGGAGTATAAGTAGGTACCTGATAGGGTTTAAAATATGCGCTAAATAATAATAATAATGGTAATAATAATAATAATAATAATAATAATAATAATATTATTATTATTATTATTATGTTTATTGGTAATCAAATAATAATTGTTATTGAATTTAGATATTTAAATTTTATATAACTGTAAATAGTAATTTATTGGTTACCACAATTTGTAATTAATTTCAATGATTTTATTATTGTAATTATATTTATCTTTCCTTTTAATTATATTTTAGTTATTGGATTTAAAACTTTTATTTGATCTGTATTGTAATAATTCAGTATATATTAAATTTGTTAGGTAATTAATGATATTTATTTTTGTCTGAATTTTCCAATTTTTTTAACAATGTAATTAATCATAAGTATATTTTTGTAATTTTTCTATATAATATTTTTGTAATTTGATAGTATAATGCTGCCTGTTTTATATTGTATTTTATCAATTTTTATATAAAGCGCATTGAACAGCACTCTGAAAATGCACTATATAAATTAATATTATCATTATTATTATTATTATTATTATTAATAAAATTAAGGAGCTTTAGCATAAGTGAGTCTGATACAACAGTACATATTAAAACACAAAGTTAATAATATAATAAACACATAAATTTTAAGTAATATTTAAACAATGCTAAGTACTGTATATATGATAAATATAATACTGTCCAAATTGTTTGAATTATGACACTGCAAGCTACATTTTACAGTTGGCATCCAAACACTAATTAGTAAATTTGTGATTGATAATTAAGACTTATCGCAGGCTATTCCTGGTACCCAAACTGTAGCGCTCTTAAACCAGCTGTAAACTAAGCTGCTAAAAATGTTTACATCTCATAATGCGTGAACAGAAATATATAACGACACATACATGCATTCATATTTTACAGCAGAAATTTAAATTCATAAGTACTGTAGAACTATGTACTTAATTGATAAATCAGAGTGCCTTATATTTATTAAAGTCCAGTTAAAGAAGCACCAGCAGCATGCAACATCGATCTCATTTTCTTCCATTCTATTTAAAATTCTTTAGTTTACATTCTATTGTCGAAGGAATGCACCAGCTTTGTGTTCCTGTAGTCGTGGACGTGCACAAAGTTAGGCAGTCTATCTGGACTTTGCAATGCCACTGGACCTTTTCCACCTTTTCAGACATTACAGCAATTTCAGTCAAGTACTGTAATTTTTATTTCTGCTATGCTGTCAACATATTCATGGAAACATCTAGGATGTTGTGGTTATGTGATTGAAGCTCTGTTGTGCAATCCCATGTCGGGTCAAGTTACTCCTTAATCTTGCTTGTTTCAATACCTTAAAGCTCTGTAAGACAACAATACAGAGCACCTTATAAATGTTACATGTGATCATTGTTGTTGATATTATTATTAAATATAAAATCTATATATTATTTATTATGGAATGAAGAGAAAGGAATTCACAAATTAGTAATTGTACCTAAATTTAAGTTTACTCTGTTAAGTATGTCACATGAAAATGACAAAATGATGAAATAAAGGGAAAAGAAAAGATAAAAAGGAAAATGTTAAGAAAATGGAAAGAAGGAAATGAAAAAAAGTTATGGTGGAATTGAAAAAAAAATGATGAAAATGAAATGTAAAGAATGTAGGCCTAAACAAAATAAAACGAAATGGCCCACATGACAAATTGTTTTCTTTTAAAAAAAATGAGGATTACCATCTTGTAGTGCATTCAATGCTGGATGGATTTCAAGGCTTCTTAATGAATCAGTGAATTCTTTCATATTCTTTTCGCTGATTATCTGTCTGTCTTCTAGATCAGTGATCATACTCCAGCCATCGGTATACTCCTTACAGGGCATGTTCAGCAATCCATCAATTTTTGTTACATTGTCTGGAGTCAGGTTCATTCCAAACTTCATTAGTTTTTGTCTGTGATGACTGAATTGTTTGGAAATGTTTCCTTCCTTAACATCCGCGAATGACGGTAGTAATACTTTAATCTTATGTTGAAGACCAAAATGTTCAGTTGTGCTGATGGTATCATGCAGAATTGTAAGATTCTTGGAATTCAAATGACCATGTTTAACTAAATCATTCAGCAAGTCCACTGTCTTATCTATTTTTGATAGTCTCTCATTGACCACATGATCTCTGAACAACACTTTCAACATAGTAAGACATTTTTGGTTATCATACCACACTGCGACATCCATTTTAAGTGCACTGAATTGCGCATCTGTCATTCCTTTGGACCAAATAAAAATTCAACACATCAATATCTTCAAGTTTTACCATAATTATTATATAATTTTGTAGATGTAGAATTATGTATGGATAACAAGCATTACTATTATTCCAACAAAGTGTACTCATTTTCTTAGGAGAGTTCCCCTACGGCAAAACAACCAACATATGCAATGCATTATAATAGGCCTTTTTTTTGTTGACAATCCCAAATCGATTTTGTCCAAAATGTAAACAGAGTAAAGTCTGTACGCATGATGCTGTTGGAGCAACTGCATGGTGTATCAACAGATAGTGATAGTTAAGTAAAATACTTTTAGGCCTACGTCTAACTAATACTGTACTGTATTAGAGCTTATCTACTACCATGGTTGAACCATGGATGTAATATATTTCCTCCATGGTTGAACTAGGAGAGCATTATTAGCATAATACTGTTAATTCATAATCATGTGTTTGCTAACAGTTAATAATACATAAAATACAAAGAATATACAGTGTGAATGAGTGTGTGAATGTTCAGTGTGTAGACCCACTGAAAACAATGTAAGCATATGTTTACTAGTTTTCCTAACAGATTTATAGGTGAGTGAAGAAGCAATAATCGTGGTGGCATGAAAAATCTCAAATTACCTTGAATTACAACATGCTCAGGGGAAGAAGCAGCATGACCCATCTTAGCTGAAAAAGTTAATACAAATAAATTATTATATGCTTTAGGTTATTATGTGTACATTTTTTTGTTGTTAAACACCGGCGTAGTAGTTAATCAATCAATCAATCAATCACAAAACTTATAGCGCTGAGTATCCATATAATATGTTCAATGGCACTCAAACAGCAGAGTTTATAGTCGCTTCTAAAAGTAGCCAACTGATAATAATTGCATCAAGCATAGCTCATCATCAACAAGTTCCTTCATTTCAGTTGTATTGAAGAAAATCTCTAGTGAGATCCGAACCTCCAACCTCTAGCCGTTAAGGCGAGTATCAGAGACCTATGGGATATCTTGCAGTTCTAAACCCCCAGGGAGCTGGGCTAAGCTAGAAAAGCTTATAGAATGCATAGGAAAACCTAGTGGATAAAATTCAAATGAAGTTGCTGTGTAGCACCATAAACAATGTAAACAAATATCTAAAAATAGTGACAGTGCTCGAACAGGGTGCAAAATTTACATTTTTTTAACACACGCCAAAATTTAATAATTGAAAAACTTGTACTACATTCTAAAGTAGAAACTAAACCCTAACTAGCTTCTTGACTTACTAAAAAATGTAGAAAATCGTGCAAACATGGACCATTTTTTTTTTCTATTTGCTGGAATTCCATGTTTTACAATACATCTATTATGTAGTAATAACCTTATACATATACACTACATAATCATCTTTCATATTGTGAATGTTGTATGGATGTTGGGAATGTTGTATTATTCAATAACTTTGAATATTATAAAAATCATAAAAGACAACTTGTTCTGTCTAGGCCACTGGCCTATGAAGCTAGGGTAGGAACCAATGTTTTTCAGCCTGTGTGATCTACACAAATTAATTTTTACTGTAGTTTTTACCTTCTCAGGTATTTAGATTGTGGATTTCATTCAACACAGCTTCCTTGGACAATTGCTTAATATGTATTTTGAAAATTTAATATATCATGTTATGTTTTAATTTGTCACGATGAACATGTGTTAAGCTAGATGTGGTAAATACTGTACTATACAGTACAAGACTACAGTGAATTACTTTTAATAGAAATAATACTGCAGTTTATATTTTTATTGCATATTCAACTTGAGATTTAAAGATGATATACCAGTGCTAGAATTCGCCAATGCCTTAATGGTAGACCAGGCTATTAAAACTAGACTAGCCAAGTAGACCAGGCCCTCCAAGCTACCATGGTAAAATTGGCCGTATTTAATAGAAAATAAATCATATTGTGTCTCCATAATAAAATATAAAAACAATTTTCATATACAAATCACATTCTTAAACCAACCTGTTGAAAAGAGTCGTTTAAAACGAGTAGTTACAACTGACTTTGTTTTTCCACATGGCACACTTTCTTTCATCAAACATTCCTCAAGTTTATGCAGCGGTTGCAGCGTAGCGTCACAGGCATTACAAAGGACGTGTAACTCATAGCCGACTCCTTCTGTAGTAACATACACAGTTTTCAATTGCTGACGGATGTAACTTAATACCTGATAAAAATGAAATAAGATAAAATTATCCTGAAAATTTTTTATGGTTGCATACCAAGGTGTATAAAATCTCAATTTTGTAGGTGTTTTAGGAATGCAACCAAGTCCCCTAAATGGTCCCCTATCAATGGAAAAGGGGGACATTCATTTTCAGATCATCAAAATAAATGAAAACAGAAAAAATAGTTTATAGTATAATACTTTCCAATTGGATGCCCCACAAAACTGAATCTAACTCAAATAGCTGTTCCCTTGACCCTATCAGGAATTATAAGGAAACTCTTACCCCATTTCGTTGGTTTTTTCACACCCCAACAACAATCCACAGGAAATCTTGATTCCATTTAGTAAAACCCCTTTACTTAAAACCAGTTATGTGCAAAACTTATAGCAAACTTAGAATCAAAGACGTTTTGAGCATTTGGTAAGAATTGGGAATCTGTCTCAAAAGCATTAGCAAGTGGTACACTTTAATTCAAATTGCATGACAAATAAGATTTAAAAGAAGTATATATTGAATTATAATAAAGTTGTTCATTATCTCTTTAATTTCTAATTAAATTTCATCTATATTAAGCGCATTTTGTGTTTGAACCCACCAGGTGCTCACTTGTACTCTTTGGTGGAAAGAGATAACCACAGGTTAAGTGCCTTGCCTAAAGACACAAACAGGGATATGAACCTCCAACCTCAAGGTTGAAATGCAGAACTACAACTGCGCCAAACTGCTCCTACAAAATGACTAGAATAAACAGAATTTGGTTACGGAAGCTTACCTCCATGCAGATGCTAGGATGTGGTTCGAGAAGTTCTTCTTTGCCATGTTCATAAACTTTCATCCTACGTGATATTTCAATCTATTATATACAACATACAGGATATTTTATTAGTCAATGTGTTGTTCACTGAGAAAAGGTCATAGATGCACGTAATATATACAAATAATGAATGTTTATGAGTGCAATGGGGTAGAATATTTCACGAGGTGAAAGACTGGATGTTCTATTCAACGAGGTGAATAGAACATCCAATCTTTCACCTCATGAAATATTCTACCCCATTATATGAATGAGAAACATTCATTATATGTTTTATACAATACCGACAGGATGAGCCTCGACGAAATACTACAAGGACTCATCTTCCTTTCGAAGGCCAGCATAAAACCATCCTAGGCTTAGGAATCGATCAAGTTCAAGTTCGGATAATAATAGGCTCAAATCCTCACCGCTGAAGCTGGCAAAATACTCCATATGGTTAACTGTGTATGTTATTGCCTATTTTGTTACATAATTAAATATACTTTTATATATAATATATAATTTATAACATAATTCTACATTTCTATTACATTAATAAAAATATGTTTAAACTTTGCATCTTACTTTTAATGCATGTCTGTTCTTGATTCTGACAGCTCCTAGACTCACGACATGCTCATCATCTAAGTAAAAGTCACTCCGATTCCGAAACAATTCCACATGATCACCATTCCTACCTTTGTCATTCATCAAGTCTAAAAACGAAACGACCAACACATTGTAGACAGCATCCGGTAGGAAGTCCGTGGGAGTCACATAAAACGATGCAGTTTGCTGCTCGTCTCCCCTAACTTTCAAGCCTTCTTTATTGATTTGCATCCGAGTAGGAACAATGAAGATTCTGTTACCAGGTTGAGATCCCTTTGAAAACAAGAGCACTGACGTGGCATATTATGAATCTCAAAAAAATTTGAAAATTATAGGCAACAGAAGGAACAGAAGGCATGTTGGCACAGCGGCAAATCTTTGCAATTTCAAGAGAGAGTTCGGTCAGATTGCTTGTGCCCTTGGAAAGATAATTACATTTTTATCTCTTCATCCAGGAATATGAATGCGCTGGTATGAAACTGGCAGCGCATGTTTAAGTGTTGCTGCCATATTGGTGCAGGACCAGGCAACACCCCTCAGGCAGCTTTTTATACTCCTATAATGTTTGTGGCTTTTACCATTGATAGCTTTGTATAAAGACACTGGAAGAAAGTCTCTGCACTGTGGTTTTGAATTGTTGACTGCTGGTGGTGTGTGACTAATTTAGTCACGGACCGACTAAAATTAATTTAATAAAAATATGGATAAATAAGTCCAAAAATTTAAGTAATCTTGTCAGTGTATGTTAGCCTAATAGCTTCAATGGTTTTATGAATTTCACAATGGTTGAAAGCTGCCTGACTTTAATAATAAACTTGAAAAATGTTTTTTTTTTTGGTCACAGACTGACAAAAATATTAAGAAATATTTTTGCCCCACCTTAATATTGTTTTGTAAATGAATATTACTTTTTGTCACAAGAAACTAATTTAATATGTTAAGTTCTCCGAATTAAAATAAAAATGACTGGCATGAACGGCAATTTTTTTATTTCCTAGAGTTTTTGAAAAAACTTGACATTTTCATATTTTTTATACTTTCAAAATTATGTAATTTCAAATTCCAAAATATTTTTATACATCCACACAAAAAAAGTTTCATCAAGGAATCATAAAAAAACATTTTTTAAGCTTTAGTTTGATATAAAACTTGTCTACATTCCTCAAGTTGAAAATATGCTAAATCTGAAAACCAGAGCCTTGCAGGCATTAACGTTCCTATGCATGATACATGACTTTATCAGAAAATATAAGGTTGGGTCAAATTTGTGTGGTGGTTTAATTTGAACAATTCAGGAGTGAGTTTTTATAGTCCAAAATAGTGATATTGATAGGCAAATTACAATATTAGAATAAAAAAAAAACATTTATTTTTTTTAAAATTTTGTAGGCCTATACAGTATTTTCATTTTACAGTAGTTTGAAACAATATCGGGGGTAGGGGAGCTGGCATGTCCTACTAGACAACAATATATTAAACCACCTTTAGCAGTCATCAACCTTATGCAGTATAATAGTGAAGTTATGTGACTGAATTTTATACACAAAATATTTCAATTAGAAAAGATATTTAGGCCGTTTGCTGCGTTATGCTGTGGTTGCGAAAATGTTGCCTATAGGCCTACTTAATACATAAACTGTGATACTTTTATCACTATGGAGTGCTTTTAACTTTCGCAGGGACGTATCCAGGGAGGCGCTGCTTCCCTCCTCCCCTCCCCCACACCTTCATACACAGTTTTAATACAAATTCTTTCCTTAAATCGCTCAGACTCTTTAATAGTAATCAACACAACTTTTGATGTAAACAGTTTGGGTCAAATGTCTGTGTAAAAAAAATATATAAGGCAAAAATAAAATTACAGTAATATAACAATATTTGGTTTTATTTCAAAATTATTATTTACTATAAATGCAGTATCAATAAACACAATACTTTGTTATATTAGTACTGTTTCCACGAGTATGTTAATGACACCTTGATATTTTCCACAAGGGCAATGTGGGCCAGAATGACAAGATAGAATGCAATGGGAATAAAGTGATGGATGGCTAGTTAGAAAACTAATACCAAGGGTACCATTAGGCATGTCAGTAAAACAAAATGTCCGAAAACTTTTCCTGAAGATGTCCACACACACACACACACATGCAAAAAAGTGAATACAATAGTTCCTATTGCATTATGTGCATAGGAACTAAAAAATAATAATATGAAAGGGTTTACTTCTGCTAAACGATTAGAACCAGCTTACCTTTTCTTGCTCAAACAGTAACCCAAACATCTTCATAATTTCTAAAAATACCTCTAAGTTGCTGGCATCTTTCGCTATCTCATGTCGCCACAAATGATGTAGCAACTGTTCTTGTAGAATTCCCTCACGGTCGAGCTTTTCCCACTGCTTCAGTATAGGCAGCTACAAGAAAATATGAACACATAAAATGCATGCAATTCACCATAATTTTAAGTATCATAAAATGATAAAAAAAAAATATTTATAAGAGATTGTTGTATTGCTTACCTTCTCAATATCATCTGGTTTCACTACTGTGATGATTTTCGTCACGACGTCGATCATCATGCACAAGTTCGTAATAACCGTGTACTTTAACTTCTCATTAGTCTTAGAGTACAGAATTATTCCAGTGTCATTTAGATAATCGAGGACAGTGTTGAGCGTTGGTTCAGAAATTCCACATTCAGATGCAATTTCCGCGATCTTCAAATGTTGAATGAAAAGAGAATTCCATTCATACAAATGCAAGAAATATATTGTAGTCAGCTACATTGCTTAATTCGACCCTTATATACAATGGGTTAACCCAACTAATGCTGACTGTTTCTTGCTTTATATATGTTGATTAGATTTCTTCCAAAGTTATTATTCCAACGCTGATTGGCTCTTGCCTTATATGTTAATTTAAAAGTTGTGAAGTAGTTGGTAGAAAAATGTATGTCAGAACTATACGTAACTCCAAATTGACTGGATGTAAATTTGTTGTGTTCTGTTTTATCACTACAACAACTCCCTGGTTTCATACACTACCTGTATTCTTATGTTGTTTTGGTAAGCTTTTATAGGTGTCCTTTAGTTATCAATAAAAGCTTAATACCAAAACAACATAAAAATAAAGGTAGTTTATGAAACCAGGGAGTTGTTATGGTGATAAAACAGAACACAAGAAAAGCTGTCATTCATCTTTATTCAGTTACTATAAGATGACAGAAAATAACTTTTGCTGAATCACACTAATTAAGGTAAATAAACAATACAATAGAGACCCAAAGGACGCAAGATCAGTGGTGACTCTTGGATAAATTTTCCGGGTGACTGTGACAGACATGTTTTCACTTGATGTGAGCCTATTTTATATTTTTTATGGTTTCACTGCCCAACAAGCTCTGTCAAATGGGGGAGGGGGATTAGGATACCAGAGGAAGAAAGTTATGAGATGGGTAGTGTTGGACTTGTGGATCTGCACTTGTGTAATTCTAATCATATTCATCAAATATTATTCAATTATAAATATTATAAGGAAGCATATGTTACCTCATCTAAGGAAACATGGAGTCTTGTTTTTCCAACGTCTTGTACTTTGGACTGGAAATCAACCCAGCTAGTGGGAATAGGTTTAGCCGTTGCCTTCATGTATTTTGCGACATTCTTCTTCAATTTCTCAATCCCTTCATCCATACGCACAGTGTTATCTACAACATACATCTCACGATCCACATGATTTCGGTATGGTGTTCCTTCGACTTCATCAAATATTCTTTTGAACTTGGTTGTGATCTGTGAACAAAATTGAAAGTATTAGATGTTTTCAAGATTTAAAAAAAAAAAATAATGTAACTACTAAAAAACAGACAGTATGAGACATGTCGTGGTGAAATGGTTAAGTTGTTGGACAGGCTATATTGAATAAATGAGCTATAAAATATGGGAGCTCAAAAAAATTCCCTAAAAAACTATAGATTAACAATTTAGGCTATGTTCTCACAAGGCAGCTAACGGTATAGCAGGATCCGGATCTGGAAAATAACTTGAATTTCAATTTTTGCTACAACTTAGCCATTTTGCCACAACATGCCTCATATAAGTAAATTTTTTGAAGAATTTAAGACTAAAATATTGTAATTTTACTATTAAAAACAGACAATGTCTCACCAGCTTGTTCTTTTCTGACTCAGTCCCAAGTAGTTTGTCTTTATGTGTGGCAACTAAACTGATCGTGGGTGAGGATATGCCATTGATTAACTTCTCTGTCCTTCCATGATAGGGTAGTACAGCATGTTCGTATATTGACCGCATCCAAAATACATTCATCTGAAGATTTGTCATTTCTAATTGTCCCTAAAAAAATGTATAAGCACATAATTTTTAAAACAGTATGAGATTATGGTTGATGTAATAAAACTATTAAAGCTATAAACCTGCATTGAAGACCAAGTGGTATATTTACCTTCAGGGAATTTCTTGGGTTTGCCAAAGTGTCCAAATCATCTAACACACTGAAAACCACACAGTATGATGATCCACCTGTCAGAAAAAACTAGAAAGAAGAAAAATACAATTTAAAACATAAAAAAAATATTAAAATCAGCTGATCATTAAAAAATATGTATTACTGTTAAAGTCAGTTAACCCTTTGAAATCCCAAGAGATCAACCCCCTAGGTGAATGAGGCCTATTTAGGAAAAACGCAAAATACATTTTTATGACTGTAACCTTTCACAAATGTTGGTTTGATTGTTGTGTTAAAAATGTCTTGGGCTTCCAAAAAATAGCAGAATTATTTCAACTTTAGACCTAGGTCAAAGATCATGTGCCCACAATTGCAATTTAGTGGCTTAAAAAGGGTATTTTTTTACCCATAAAGCCTGTGTAAACTTCACAAAAATACTCCTATGGTCATGAATGTTACATATTATGTGGATATGTTGTTTTTTACAGAAATAAAATGTGCTTGGTTAAATAAAAAAATTTTTATGCCCAAGGTCACAAAGGTCATTACTCAAAAAATATGATGGCCATGTCGCCATTGGCGACAAAAAAACGAACCATGGCGAACAGTTTTATCATTACCATCATGGCTACCAAAGTAGAAACACTGATAGCCAAACTGGCGATAAAATCCACAGAAAAATAAAAATCTTGTTGCCGTGTAGGTCATTTGGCAGATGCCCTGGCCAAACATAAACGTGCTATAAACAGCACCATCGATTATTGTTGTCTAGGTTAGGCACAGACCAGCCAAATTAATGAGGCATAGCCTAAGGTAGGACTGGTTTGTAGCCTAGGCCTAGTATTTTTAATTTTACTCACTACAGTGCTGTCCTAGGATTCCTACTACATTTTCTACATCATTCAAGCACAGGTGGAAGGCAGCTCATAAATGGTCCAGTTGCAAAAATCATAAAAACAGTAATAAAATAAAATATACCGTATATTCCGTTGTATAAGCCGCACCCCTAATTAGGACGCGAAATATCATGATTTTTTTGTGTAACCTGTGTATAAGCCGCACCAATTTTTAGGCTCAAAACCATGAGTCCCATAATGTTAGGTTTTTAGTTACTTTGAATCATTTTGACATTATACAAATGATTGCCAAGTCATGTCTAGTTACATGACGGTAGGGAAATCCCCTAAAAGAACAGAGGGCAGCATTACTAAAACAAGCAGGAAAATCAGCCCATACCGTATATGGGCCCTGCATCCTGGGACAGTAAATTAGACCGTATAGAATACGGGCCAAGGTATCAAAGGGTTAACAAGAGAGATTTAAGTCCTGTAAATACTACAAGAACCCCCAAACTAATAATGTTTATTGTTCGATTTGAGTTAATATTTGATATTCAGGAGCTCTTTTAATTAGATTCAATAAGTTAAAACTAATTCTCATATATAATGTGGAGATGTTTTTTAAGGTTTTTGTAAAAAAAAAGTAAAACCTACAGTAAATTTAAAAAAAAAACCAGCTTTCTGTAAAATTTATTCCTTACCCTGTGAGATATATAATACGTCAGCTGACCAGCATAGTCCCAAATACATGTGACATCATTTGGTATGAAACTCTTGTCAATATCCTTCCTGGCTGTTAAAAATGATCTCATTTGTTGAAATATGTTAGTCGGACGGACAGTAGTTTTAGTAAGTTTAGCAACAAGTTTCTTATGAATTCCTCCTTCTAGGAGTTTACAGGCATAGCTTGTCATACTTCTTGCTGCTTCTGATGGCATCTGTAATTAAACATTTAAGAATCACTAAGGTCAGTTCAAAATGTACACAGCAATTCAAACCAGTGTGGTTGAGACAATGACTTTCTTAATTAGGCTGACTGCTAAGTAAAAAAATACATAATCATAATTTAAAAGAACATCAATCAATAAAAATATTTAAAGTAATTTTTGCAATTAAAAAAAATATAAAAGTACTGTTGAAGAGGCGGTAAGACTGGATGATGCAGAATTAGAATTAGATGAGTTTTGATGGCTTTTAGGCTGTTTTAGCTTTTTGGCGAGATTTTCTGCGATGGCGTGCTCACGTATCTGCTTGGTTAGTTCACACACTGTACAATATTAAAAAGTTTGAGAAACATGTCATTAAATAATTTATAAAAATAACAAATTATAATATTCAGACAGTAAATTTGTCAATTAAATTATATGGTATTTTAAAAAGTATAATATTACCATCCACATCCTTCTGTTCGTTATATTTGCAAAAACATGTCATCAAAATAATTCATAAAAATAACAATATATAATATTTAGACAGTTAATATGTAAATTAAATTATTTATATTTATATTTTAATACCATTCGTATAATATTCATACCATCCACATCCTTCTGTTCCTTCCATTTGTTGCAATCTCCATTAACAGTTTGAAATACTGTTGTTGTTACAATACCATCTGTTGATGGTACTTTCTTCTTAAATCTATTGACATTTAGATAATATAATAATAATAAAATAAAACTTTAAATAAATATAATTATACCATATCAATGAATACTTAGAAACAGGAAACATGTGAAGTTAATTATAGCATATGTGATGGATTTATAAATAAGTAATGACATATTTATACAAAATCTTTTCTTAAAAATAAAAATACTTTTAAAATAGGAAGTGGATATATATTTACGTCACTGTTAACAAATCAATAAACAATATATTTACGTAAATGAAACAACGCATGCACAGTCATTCTTTAATAAATTGCATTATCGGTCACGTAAAGTTATTGATTCTTGTTAAATGTACGTTAACTCGGAGTTCAACTTTCAGACTGCAAATAAGCATCGGCCTTTTGCTGATGGCAACTTTTTGGCAAGTTAAATTTATGAATGTATTCTACCATGAATCCGGGGTGTACAAAAATCAAATCTTCAAACGTGGACGTGTTTATTATAGTCATGTTAAAATACATTAACTTGACACAACAACTTTTCTTGTAAAAACAAATGGTTTCTACTCTTTAAAAAGCCATTGAACAACACACGATCGAAT